TATACCCAAACAAAATTTATATCCTTTTTTTACACAATTAAAGCTTTCTTTTGGTGGTGTTTAATCACCACTGGGTTTTTGTGATATAAACAAAAAAGACTGAACATTTTGAAAAGAAAAGATGCTTTCTGTTATAAAAAATATCCTGTAAACTCAAATGTCTTCATAAATTTAGGCCAAAATGTATTATGCTACATGTGTTTGGTAAAAAAGAACTCCCAATAAGTGGATAGTATTTAGTTTGCGTGAATGTTGCTTTCCCAATTTAAAAACGGTGTTGTTTATATCTGGAGAAACCAAAGTGATGAAATGTGTTTTGCTTCTAGTTTCTTAGACCATAGAGATGATTAGAGCTGTTCTGGTCTCTGACCAGGTCTATGGTCAGCACAGAGAACTGCCGTCTGTATTCTCGGGTTCCCATGTGGGATGGGAGAGCTGAGAAAGCCATGGAAGGTGGTGGGGGAGACCCCTACCCCTGCTTGTAAAAGCAATCTAGTGGCTAATTAGTCACTAGGATTACTTTTACATGAAAGCTGACCGATACCAGGATGATGCCTGTAGCTGCAGGCATCATGCTGGTATAACCACTCATAGTCCAGCGATGTACCAGTATGTTGCTGGTCCTTGTTAGGTATATATGTAATGTTGTTTTTTTTTTTCTGTGGACTGAATGAAAAAAAAAAAGATTCCTCCGTTTACATCAATCAATGTGGATGAAGAATGCTCTGCCAAAAAAAGTGAAAAAAAAATATATGTCGAAACATAGGAGTGATTTACCCACTGAACACCCCTGGCCCCCATGCTTTGGCATATCTGTTCTTTTTTTTTTTTTTTAACTGTAGATAAGAAATCTCCTCCAGCAGTGCTCCACTGATGTAAATATTCTGAAAGTACACCTTGCTGCTGTCAGAATAAACAGATCAGTCCTGCAGTTGAACAGCGTTCCTGCAAAGGGCCTGTTTTTGAATTATTTGTGACTATTATTGCCAACCACCGCACCAGCTTGGACTGCACTTGCCATGTCACCAAGTGATACTTCAGTGCTGATATGTAAAATGCCAGGATATATTAGGCTGCTGGTGCTTGCTAGTTCACCAAAAGGTAGTGTGGCACTAGTACCTGGACTCTACTGCATATGAGATGAGCCATGCATTCCTAGTACTTTAGCTACATGGGGTTGGGTTCTCCATCATCCGAGCTACCCATCAGGGTGCTACTACTCTCTACAGGTTCATATTCTGAGGCAGATTCTGTAAGTGAGATGCTCAGAATCCTGTAGGCCTCTTCACCAGTGCACCTTTCTTTGGACATTTTGACCACTAAAATGATATACCTAGTTCAACTCACGGGAGAAAGAGCTCCTGGTTGTCAGGGACTGCTTGTACTAGAAAAAATTCACTTGCTAGTACTAGCAGAAATCAGACCTGATTCTACTAACGCTGTGATATTGTGTTCAATGTATCACAGGTAACAGTGATCAGAAATTATACTGAAGCCGCACTTCTTGTTGAGGGGGGGCTAAAAGCTGGTGCTAGCAGATCCTGCTAACACTACATTTTTTTGGGACACTATACTAATCGGGCATTAGTATAGTTCTGTTTGTGATCAATATATTGATCTGTAAAAATACTATACTAGTAATGGCAGTGGCCATCAATCTATAGCGTTAGTGCAATAGTGTTTGGGGAATCTAACACTAGCTGGCCCTGGCTGGGAGAAACACTAACTGACTCTTATGCTATCTGATGTCGTTAGTGGCTGTAATACGGTGAACAGTGAAACATTCTATATACTGACACTGTACTAATGGCACTGGCTGGGTGACAGGGGTGATCAAAGGATTAATAGGGGAATTCAAAGGGTTAAATGTGCTAATCTAACATGTGCGTGTGTAACATGTAGTGCTTTTACTCACAGTGTGGTGTTCTTTCTTCTCTCTCTGTTCCAAAAAGGATCCAGGAAGAGAAGAACAAGCTTCTCCATTCACTGCAGGAGATCAGTCCCGGGTAAAAATCTGGGGCCGGAACCCATTGATGAACTTCTCCTGAAGCGACTGACAAAGGGGTCAGCAGGGGAAGGGTGTTGGGTGCACGCATGGTGGACACAGCGGTCGTGGGGGAAGGGGGTGCTCTGCACACCTCCCTGTGTCAGTACAGCCAGAGCGATGTATGGGTAGATCGCTCTGCCTGTACATGTTGCCCACCCTCAGTACAAGTACTGTGTGCAGTTGGCAAGTGGTTAAAGGATAAGTTCACCTTTGGGAATATGTTTCGCGTTCCACCCATTTTTTTTACATCCTGTAGGGGCAAGCAGATAGATTGACAGGTCTGCAGGAGACCTGCATGGCACCAGCAATCTGTTGATCACTGGAGCAATGCTTTACAGGCTCCTGCAACCAAAAATAATAAATTCACATTTTTTTACCTGCAAAAACATGTTCCCATTCTTTCAGCCATCCCCTGTGACAGGAGCCGGGGATCTTCTCTCCCCATTAGCCGGCTGCTTCATTCATTCACAGAGTTCTGTGAATGGAAAACTACAAGTCCCGATAGCCTTTGCAGCTGTCGGGTTGTAGTTCTCAATGATCTACCTCAGCATTGTTTAGCACTGTGGTAGTTCATTGTCATTTTCTGTTAATGTGTATCTGCTTGCCCGTATGAGGTATGAGCACACAGATACATCGAGAAGTCTGCAGGAATCTTGTATGGCACCCGCTATTTGCTGATCGAGGCTGCAATGCTATCTAGGTTCAAGTTTACCCGCAAAAAGGTTTGCATTTATTATTATTTTTAAAAGGTTATTAAAACTATTAAAGGATAAGTTCACCTTTTAAAAAAAATATTCTCCAGCCATAACCCAATATGCAAGTTAAAACACTTGTAATCTGTAATAACGTTTATGTTTACTAAAAACAAGGTTCAGCCCTCTTGGGACAGTAAACTTATTAGCACTGACCTTTTTTACACTGTTCCTTCTGTATTTGAGAGGCAGCAAGGTGTCTGCAGTAGGAGTTCCAGCATTGCAAGCACATGTGTTCCATGATCATCTGTTTTGACTGGGTGGACTAGGCAACAATATTGTCAGGATGAAAATCAAAAATGAGAAGATAGGATGCATTCCATATGGATCTCAATGAAGAGTACTTTTATTGTTTTTATTTTTTTTATCAAGTAGAAAACAATTTTGCTTAAAGTGTTTATTAACCTTATTCAGAATAACTAAAGACTACTTACAGTACCTCTGTCCTTCACAATTAACATATTTTATTTTGCTAAGTAGTAGAAATATCAGTTCCAGGGGCGGACTGACAACTCATGGGGCCCCCAGGCAATAGGGGATCATGGGGCCCCTGTGTCCTTGCCAAAACTCAAAAAAGCCTATGACAAAGGTACCAGGGGCATCTCATGGGGCCCCCTACTGACCCCGGGCCCTTGGGCAGTGCCCGAGTTTCCAAATGGTCAGTCTGCCCCTGATCAGTTCCCTTTTATATAAAGCCCTTCCTATTTGTGTCTCACTACACTAGGCATGGAAGCAAATTCATGTTAAGCTAGTCATTTTTTGTCTCTGCTTCTTCCCTGGGACATATAGGACACTGTGCCAGTGCATGGCATGCCTGTAGTCCTGGAGTCGGCCAGCCCTGCACTGCCTCATTGACAATGGGTTCCAACTGAAGCCAGTCACAAGAGCAGTTGCACATCCAAGAGGGCAGTCTTCACCCCCACTGCACAGATTTCAGGGATGATGAGGAGAAACGCTGTCATATAACCACCACTGGTAAGTTTTATGAAAGATGATTGCTTCATATAGCTCTGCTGATAGTTATTATGCTTTTAAAACAAAAAGCATTTTATATGTATTGTAAATGATATTAAACCCAAAAGCAAACATTTACAATATTGCAGTTTACCATTTCTTAGATGTAAAGGCTGCATTCATTTTCTTTTTTAGGCTCATCTGGTGATCCAGCCAGCAAGTCTGTGTTTTTTTTTTTACAAAAGAACAAGCTCTCTGGCAGAATGTATCAGCTACGGAGAAGAGACAAACCATTTAACAGTGACAGTGGTGCTTTCAATGATCAGCTTTTATTTAGTTTTGTAAAACCTTAATACCAAAAGAGAAAAAACTGTTGCTGTAACTAATTATAAAGTATTACCTAGAGTTTGGCTTCAATTTGTTAGTGTATCTAAATCTGTTAGTACACCTGACACTCCCCTCCCCCCAAACTGATGTTGCTGTTGTCCAAAAGTTCCCCCTGTGCTCATTCATCCAGAGTGGGGGTATTTGAATACAGGAGGTGTGTTACTGGCCATGTGAAAACAGAGGGGGAAAGCCTAAGAAAACTGATGCAGCCACCCAATGCAAGGATTACTAAGCTTCAATATATTATATTTTTTGGTTTTGGGTTTAATACTGCTTTAAGTTTGTTTGTTTACTAGGTTTAGGTTTTAGATGTGCCTGCTCATCAGGGAAGCAATCTAACTTTGATTCACGGTAAATAAGACTGACTGTCTTGCTAAATGGAGAATCGGTCAGACTCTTTCTAATTTCTTGAGCAGACTTCATTTTATTTTAAGAACAAGATATACCACTATTGATGAGCAAAATGGCACCCCGCGAGAGAACTGTTTCACAAAACTATATGGTTCCACCTCCAATTTGCTGCTAGATCATGAGACACAGCAGTCAACCGAGTAGCGCCATGTTGTGCTTTGTTTCTCAGCAGAAAGGTACAGATTTCAGAGAGAAGGAATATGAATATGGCCTTAAGCACACTGGCCATTTTTCAGCTGCTCCTAGGGGTGTCTGGTACAGGGCCGGATCTAACCTATTTGATCTGGGGGTGCAGCAAAAATAAGTCCGGAGGCATAATATCAACACTGTGTGTGAGAGACACTGACAGTCTGTCACACAGTGTCGAAACACAATATAATGTATTAGATTGTCATTAGATTATTGTGATTAAACAAAATTATATCAGATGTCCTATCAGAGTCCCCCTTTACATCAGGAGTCCTCATCAGAGTTCTTCTATACATCATGACTACTCATCAGAGTCCTCCTTTACATCAGGTTCCCATCAGAATGTCCCTTTAAATCAGAGTGCCCCCTTACATCAGATGTCCCCATCAGAGTGCCCCCTTACATTAGGTGTCCCCATCAAAGTTCCCCCCTTAAATCAGGTGTTCCCATCAGAGTGCTCCCTTACATCAGGATTCCCATCAGAATGCCCCCTTACATAGTGTCCCCATCAAAGTTCCCCCTTACATCAGGTGTCCTAATTAGAGTTCCCCCTTACATCAGGTGTCCCCATCAGAGTTCCCCCTTACATCAGGTGTCCCCATCAGAGTTCCCCCTTACATCAGGTGTCCCCATCAGAGTTCCCCCTTACATCAGGTGTCCCCATCAGAGTGCCCCCTTACATCAGGTGTCCCCATCAGAGTTCCCCCTTACATCAGGTGTCCCCATCAGAGTTCCCCCTTACATCAGGTGTCCCCATCAGAGTGCCCCCTTACATCAGGTGTCCCCATCAGAGTGTCCCCGTACATCAACTGTCTGCATCAGACTGGCTCATGGAGCAGTGGATGCACTCTCAGAGATCTGGGGGGGAACATGTAACATCTGGGGCGACACAGCCCACCCCAGCACCCCCCTAGATCCGACCCTGGCCTGGCATTTTTTTTCTGCCTCTAAACGCCACTGCAAGTTATGGTAGCCTATGTGTCCATGCACACATAGGCTTTTAAAGGAGTTTAGAAACAGAAAAAAAATCCTACAGTCAGTGCATCCAGGAGCAGCAGAGTTTTGAAAGAAAAAACATTTCACGCATCTAAACATGTGTAAATTCTAGGCGAGTTTAGCTCTTGAGTGTTAATGTATTTCAATGACCAGAATACATTATTTATTCTGGCTATTGAAATGAATTAAGGCTAGGTGATTTAGGAAAACATCCTGTGTGCATGAGGCCTACAAGCTAGATATATTGTAAGCAAGACACCTATCAAGTGCAAATCACTTTTCTGTGCAGATTTTCAACATAATTACTTTTATTTTGGTAACTTTTTTTTCGCTTCAAACAGATACACATTTTGATCTGGATACAAATACACATCCTGATCAGGAGCATGTTCAAAACAGTTGCAGTGACATTTCTGATCAATAGAGGAGGGTTTTTACAGAAAAAACAATAAGCACATTTATTTTACCAATTTTAAAGGGAAATTTGGATTTGGGTGAACTGTTTTTAAATGTTTAAAGTCCTGTGTTGCCATTGATACTTAGGTTATTTGTATAGCATATACAGTATATAGAACAATCATTTTTAGCTATTATCCCTATTTAACTTATTTAACTGGTTCAAAAAGGCTGGTTTAACAGGCAGGGATGTTAACAGAAAATGGAAGGAGGTAGCTGTACCTATGATACAGGCAGGCAGTTACTGAATGACAGGAAGCTCAATGAACTACCTAGAGCACTCAACAGTGCCCTAGTAGTTCATTGAGAACTACAAGTTGACAGCCACAAAGGCTGTTAGTACTTGTAGTTTTCACATTCACAGAACACCCTTTAAGATTGTGACAGCGAGCTGGGGGGAGAAGATCCCCTGATTGCTGTTAAAACGGGGGGGGGGGGGGGTCGAGGAGATGTGAGGCTGGTACATCTGTAACACTTTACATGGTACACCCCTGAACCAGTGGTGTATTTAGGTTTTGTGCTGCCCTAGGCAACACAAAAATCATCTGTTCCCACCACAGACACCAACCAACAACACCCCTGCCCCCGCCCAGGAGAGCCCTCCACTATCCCCCCCCCCCGGCGATAGAGAGACACACATCTTCATGACTCTGGACATCACCAGGAATGAGAGTCAAGCTCTACATACACCATCAAGCAGCCCGCAGCCTCTCTCAGATCCCACTTGGTTCCCATGGTGCGCGTGTCCCTTCTTTCATCCCTTCTTCTGGGGTTAGGTGCTGCCCCCCTGAAAGATGCTGCCCTAGGCAAGTGCCTTGTTTGCCTTGTGGTAAATACACCCCCTGCCCTGAACATAGGTGTAACATGTAACATGCTACAGAAGGTGGACTTATCCTTTATGTACGTGTATAGTGCAAACAGTATTTTTTTTTTTCTTTTTAAGCTAACTTGCTTATGCTACCCAAATTAAAGATGCAAGTTAAGCTGACAGATGCCTTTTTCTTTTTCCTTCATGACTTTTTTTCTACAGAGTGGTGCTCTTTGACAGTCCACTTTATCCATTTTCAACCTTTTTCCATTACTAATGGAAAAAAGACAGAACAAAGGAGGCAAGTACAGGCACACAGCACTGCTAAATTCTGTTATACTGTGCATCTCAGACAGATTTTTCTTTTATGATGATTTTATCTTATCATATTTGGCTCTATGCAAATGGCTAAATACATAAGTAAAAAACTGTTTTACCTGCCAATGGACATCTAATCCTGTTCAGTCAGACTTGCAAACCAGGCTGCATCACAGCATAACCAAATCACTGACCTTACTTTTCCTCTCTGCGGTTAAATCTGAACTCCCCAAAAAATGTATTTGTTTATTTTATAAACATTTTGGACATTTGCTATGAAAAATTAAATTACCTCTAATGAGGTGTCTAATAGGTGTCTCTTCATTAGGGATAGTACACTAATCTGTGAATGAAACCAATTGTGTTATCTAGCACAGCGCCATCCACACATGGGAAACCTATCATTAGAGGCAATTCATTTTTACATTGCAAATGTCCAAAATATTTTTCCCAGAGTTCAGCTGGCTATGTCAGAGAAACAAAAATACATATAAAGTACACAACACCAGGCTCCTGGCTTCCAAAATAACCCTCCGGTGAAATACAGATCATATTAATAGTCATCGTTCCTATAGGGTATGAAGCATAGACAAAGAAACCGTTCCAAAAATATATATAGATGGTCTACATGATTTTTGCAGCTCTGGTCCAATAAAATTTTGGAAGTACCAAAAGTGTGATTACAAAACAAATGAAATGTGAAGTGCACTGGAGTGGAAATATGTCAATTTAATAAAATTAATTAAAACAAAAGCCAGAGAACTGCATTCACAAAAACTGAGAGGTGTCATTACAGTGCCAGACTCATGGCATAGACACCAGTGTATGCAGACCTCACTGATTCCCTGTATATGAGCCAACATCCAGACAAGAGAAGAAATGCTGACAGTCTGGGAATGCACAGGGTAACATTGCCAACACTGCACAGGTTGAAATCCTGAACACACTGTTTAGCATTCTCCATGAGACAACCCATGCCATCACTAACATCTTTTGAGACTCTTTCTCAGAGTGACAGTGGTATCTCAGGAACCCAAGTTTATTCCTCCCCACCCAAGCCTGCTCCTGCTGCCAACACCAGACATGTGCTCATACACCAGACATGTGCTCATACACCAGACTTGTGCACATTATTAACAGAACTGAAATCCTGTTACTAACACCTGGTCTGAAGGTAATGAAGTAACTTCAGGTGGGGAGGAGGTTTGACTAAAGTCACAGACAGGTGAAAATTGCATAGAAGTTTGGAACGACTAGGGAGGAAGCTGGGGTCAGAGTGCCTAGGTCCATTTCACCAACTTTAAGGACTTTGTATTGGGAAATTGGTTGTTTTCAATGGATACCAATGATGTAGTGACCATTATAATTCAGAAAGGGTAAGAGGGGAGCGCTCAGATGAATGAGGCTTAGTGAGGTCCTGTTCATGGTGAAGGAAAGCATGTAGAGTCAGGGACAACAAGATTAGAGTTTAGGCCAAGAGATTGTAAGACTTATCTGTAGAGCTACAGGAGGGGGTGCTTATGTCAAGGCTTCTGAAGATGAATTCTCACTCTTTGTTAGCATGACTGATAGCTATAGAAGTGTTTCCATCTGCTATGTGGTCATCCCCCATTAAACATAGGTGACATGTGGTACATCCCCCTTACAAAACCACACAGCAGAAGCACCATGATTACATAGTACTACAAAGTGCTTTATAACAGGATTGAAGCTCAGAACCTGACTGATTCAGCAATCAATGGACACCTGGGCAAGTGATAAAACATGTCACAATTTTAAAATGGCAGCAGCAAGAAAAACTTAACCTGTAGCACTGTTTTAAAACAATTCCTGATAGGTAAGTGGTAAAATAGAAGTTTATATTTTACAGCACTGTATAGTGATACTGAAGAGAAGGCCCAGTGATGCCTGCAATGCCTGTGCTGCCATTATTGAGTGTCCTCAGAGGCTTGTAACCCAAGGAGAAACCTTCCCTTTTATGGCCACTTATAGTCCCTTTAGACCTAACGGGTCTTGTAAAGTGAATTATGCATACTGCATGGATCATTTCATGGACCTGCAAATTTCTCATCAATGCTTACTCTTGTTTACTTATTAAGGTAATTGTGGCATACCAAGATAACTGAGACTTTTTTCCCCCAGTGGGAAGCAGAGTATAATCTGACAGCCAAGCTTGCTGATCTTAATAGCTCATTTTCTTGATGTGTGCAAGCTTGTAACGGTCTGCCCAAGAGCATTAAGTGGAAACCTAAGCTGATGTGGCTATGAATTATTTTTGATAACAATATTGCTAACTTATTCTGGAAACCCAGGATCTCCCTCTTGTTCACAGTCTAAAGGGATAATAAATCGGCAGATGCTGAGGATGCTGAAATAAATAAGTGTTCCAGTGTAGAATTTTCATATTTAGATTTTGTAAATTTGCAAGTTTAGGTACAGTATCATTATTAACAATAATTAACATTAATTGATACTGTTGGGGACATTAACAAATAACAAATAAAAAAGAATGTGTGAGCTAATGAGCCCAGTCCTGTATATCCCAAAACTGTAAAGCCTAAGTTCTGTAAAAAAAAAAAAAAAAAGGAAGAAAGGACATGACTTACTATCAATGTGATGTGACCCTTGTGCTGCTGGCTTTTTTAATTGAAATCTTCCCCCTACTCCTACCACTGTAATCTTCTGGTATGTTGGGGATTTATAGAGAGAGAGGGGAGAACTGCTATAAGCACTTAAGAGTGGTGACTATGCCCTCCCTTTATTGGCACCTCTTCCATTTATAGAAGCTGTAGTATCACTTGTATGAATTAACCACTTGCCCTCCTGAGGATTTACCCCCCTTAATGACCAGGCCTCTTTTTGGTACTCGGCGCTGCACTAATTCAACTGATAATTGTGTGGTCATGCAATGCTGCACCCAAACGAAATGTACGTACTTTTTTTCACACAAATAGAGCTTTCTTTCAGTGGTATTTGATTACCTGTGCGCTTTTTATTTTTCATGCTATAAACAAAAAAAGACCAAACATTCTGAAGAAAAACAATATTTTTTACTTTCAGCTATAAATAATATATAGTAAACTCAAAGTTAGTTATAAATTTAGGCCAAAATGTATTCTGCTACATGTTTTTGGTAAAAAAAAATCCCAATAAGTGTATATTGATTGCTTTGTGTCAAAGTTATAGCGTCTACAAACTATGGTATAGATGCTGCAATTTACGCCATTTTT